AACCAAGTTGTCAGATAATGCATATAATTATGATTAGGTAAAGATGAATCTCAACTTCACCATATTACATATAATGTAGGTATATTGCACACGAAAGAGTGAAAAATGAATCCATTTGTCAATTACAATAATTCTCTTGCACGTGTTTTTTTTAAAGATACGTTTGTATATCTTAAATTCTGTGATAATTGATCAAATATTAGAATAAATTAATAATAAAATATAGGGGACGAGTTAGGAGACGTGTTGACCACGGGACGGGTTGACCACAGCAGTTGACCAAGAAGGTGACAAGTTGACCACGGGGTGTGTTGACTCGAAAACATGGCGACGGGTGTGTGTGTTTCAACTTTGCATGATAGTGGCATGTCATGTTTGGATGGGAATATTGCGTGACAATGGTTCTATAATGGGAACAAATGAAAGCAATATTGATACTTAGTTACTTACCTTGCCTTCATATGATATAAAACAGAATAATTATAAAGAATATAACTTTGGACTTTAAATATCAATAGTATTTCAAAAACATGAATAGGGAAAAACTTTCTGAAAAGTTGGATGCGACCAAAATTGATTTCAAAATGGTTCAAATACAAATCACTGCTTAACCTTATACATGTTAATCAGCACAGTCTTGTAAGTTCTTTTATTGTTCCAAAGCAATTTGTTTATACATACATTCATAACATTAAAAAGCGGATATTTCAGCAAAATGAAAACGTAGACCTGTAAGAGGGATTTATCTGGGGTGGTTCTTTGCACATGTATGGCATTAAACTTACATCATGTTCACTAGTATCAAACATATAAATAGCATAATGTTTTATCTTCATAGTTGCTCATAACATTCTCCTTTGGCCTGTCCCATAATATTATGACATACGTATATAAATACCTAAAGTACAATCAAACTGTCACATAATTTGTGCTAGCGCCTAGGTCTGATCTAAAGCTAAATATACATTTGTGGAAAATTCAGTTCAGTTTAAGATGAATGTCAGTGCATTTATTAAGGTCATTATTTTTATCATTTTAAGATAACATGAGATTGGATATTATTCGTATTCAAAAAGCAGGACATCAACTAAATTACTAGAAGATAAAGTGCGCATATACTCGTATGTAGTAAGTCAGCTTGATTAAAAGTTTGCATTTTTTTGATATGTTAGATTTTCGTGTATTTTTCTAGTAATTGCAATTTGATCAAAATATTGAAAATGATCGTATTATTCTAATAAGATGCAATGAGAGCTACTAATGACCCTGGCTATGAGAAAACTTTCTTAGTTCGTAACCAACGCCAGGCGTTTTCAGACCAAAATTGTGTACAGTGAAACATCGAATGCCATAAATATGCATAAAGGGGAATTTTGAGAAGAGACTTCAGTGAAATTTTGAAACGAAGATCATATGTAATTGTGCATGTTTTGAATATCAATTTCTGATGAGTAAGCAAATATATAGGCAGACAAAATATGTTACATATGGACGATTTCTGAACGACATACTGGCAGTACAGATATAGATTAATCTGCTGGGACAGGAAAAAAAACACCTAGAGAAATGAGGAAATGCCTCTATATGTCCGTTTCGTCGAAAGTTCTTTTTCCATGGATGAAGGTTTCTAATAGTTATGTTTCCATGGGCTGTCCATGGCACCGGTTAGTTAATCCATTGTTCCGTAAAGAGTATTCTGATTCGTTATAATTAAAGTGAGAATATATTTCCTTGCCGCTTGTCAGTGAAACGACAAGTGACTTGTGGGTCTTCCAGTTTCTGTATAAGTTACACTTGAGAAAGTACTTGATACATTTTATGAAAGTGACTTGTGGTTTCTTCCAGTTTCTGTATAAGTTGCACGGTAAAGGATTTGAGAAAGTTAATGATACTTTTAATGAAATCTCAGACACGAATTAATACCAATGTGGACAACTTGTACGTTGAATTTTTGTTTGTATTACAGCAAATGTGGTTGCTTTCACGGCTGAATGGGTTTTATGTTTTGAGAGTAATAAAGACGTAACTTTACGTATATATTGCGTTAAAGTATGTTATGATACATTAAAATCGAAGTACTGAATTAGATTGGCTTGCTTTTAAATTGTCAGATTTTTATCACTTTATTAACAATGTCCAACTATTTACCTACTGCTAGAAACAACACATCAGTTCTCTGAGCTTATTATGTATATCACATACTTTCTGTAATATTTAAAATGAATAAAAATATAAATGAGTTGAGATGCTATCTAGGTACGCCCTGACCCAACTAAAAACTTTATTTTGTTATATACCGGTATATACCTTAGGTCCCTTTCTTATTATTTCCGACGTCAATCGGCATAATATTGTTACAATCACATATTAAGAAAGAAATTTGTTTTGTCTATCAGTATTAAAATGGCTATAAGCACTTAAAATAACCCAATTCCATTATCACATGACACATATCAGGTTTAAAAATCCGTTATTATAAGGTGTCTGTATCCACTGGCCGTGACCTTAACACAATACATAAACCTATACATAGCCTTTGAAGTTAGCAAGAGGTAGGTTGTTAAACTATAAGTATACCAAGGTCATTAATTTTGTTAAAGACTGTTATGCATATTATTTTTGTAAAAGTTTACTAAAGGAAATAAACAAGTTTTCTTTATTTTGAAATTTTACGGATATATTCCGATGGAAAAGGAATGTGCACGCTTCATAATTTTATATATTTGGTAGGTTCTACGACATGGTATCAAATTCGATTTGATTTTTAGTAAAATATTTAACCGGGCAGTGCTTCATTTAAATAGTCCAAAATGTTAAGACATATGCATGTTTCCACTCGTATTTTCTTTAAAATGAAGTTTGAAATACAATATTTTATGCAGCCGTATGCGCTAATTTATTTTTTTTTTTCAATTTTATTTACTACAAAGTGCATTTATTGGTGCGTCAATACATTTGTATATTTCATAGATTCGGCATTACTACTGCTCCATTCCTACGTAATTTTCACATTCAGGACTGCGTAACGGATACAATGGGTGATAAACGCTGATATATAAACGACGAAATATGGTCGTTCGTGGCCCGCTGATAAGGTAGTTGATTTTTGTACCTCACCACTATGGGGTTCAAACCCTGCCCGGGACTTTGGGTTCTTTCATATGATGAATCTGTCCAGCTAGCGTACGGGACGTCGGTGGTTCTGTTCAGGTGCCCGATCTTGCGGAGGGACATCTGAGGTCTTCCTCCATTGGTAAAGCTGGAATGTCGTTATATGGCTATTTCGGTGTCAGTATTTAACTATCAAACAAAATATGATTTACGACGTGGTTTGTAAAATAAGGTTAATGCCCCCACTTCAAAGAAGAGGGGGTATATTGCTTTGCATTTGTCGGTCTGTCGGTCCGTAGACCAAATGGTTTCCGAGTGATAACTAAAGAACACTTGGGCCTAGGAACTTCAAACTTGGTATGGTGATTGGTCATGACCAGTAGATGACCCCTATTGATTTTTGGGAACAAGGGGTCAATGTCATATTGACCTTGTACTTAATGGCGGTTTCTGACCAATAACTCAACAACTCAAGTTGCCTTGGTTGATATTTTTATATTAAACTAAAAATGCTCTTAGTATACAAATTTGAAGGTCTTATGTAATATAGCAACTTGGCTGTCATTAATGAGGCCTACATGATTCATAAAATTTTATGCATATATTATTTGGTAAGATTTGTAATAACTTAAATTGCTGCACACAACCTATGGGGTCACAATAATTATTACCTTGTGACTAGTCATGACCAGTAGATACTAGATAACCCCTATTAATTGTTCACTGGGTCAGAAGTCATGCATAATAACCTGATCACATGACTAATTGGCTGCTGATAGGGGGCATACATGTTTTACAAACATATCTTGTTATTATGGCCAAGAAATTTGCAAGTTCTGTTAATGTAAAAATTTAGATTACAATTTTCATGTGATACTAGGGAAGGCCACCGCGGGTAATTTACAAACAACCTTAATGGTCTACTTCTTTTGTCGCTCTTATGATATTTTGGCTCTAGTCTGATTTGTTTTCCGTGGAGTTTGCAGTTTTACGACCAGTACGCATTGCCTATTATTGAAACGGTCAAACGAGGAAAAAATAGCAAAATTATGTGTTATACATAGTTTTTGTGTATCTTGTACAGATGTTCCGCTGATGTAGTTATGTCGATAGGGATTTTGCACCATATGATATTGATCGCTATGTACATACAAAAGTTATTGTTAATTTCGTTTAGTTACAAAATACTCGCTCGAACAATTGTGAATATGTACTAAAGGATTGATGGTATCTGTACTCTAAACTAAAGCTGTAATGTCTGGTAAGATTCTGGTTTTAAGTCATCCTTATACTACACCGTCAATGGCAATAGATGATTTTTACTTATCACATATAACATTCCCGATGGTCATTTTCCGATTTACATTGTATTGTAAACTCTCTCACAATTCTACCATCTTCATGTTACTTGTACAAAATTTATTAAGAAAATGATGCTAATATTTTCCTTTCTCCTTTACATATTTTAAAAAAAAATTCCAATTCACCTAAATGAGCGGTTAATATTGCTTCTTCATATGTGGTACGCTATTGACCCTCCAAATGGCTGCCACGTTTTGCAAGGGAGGTAAATATTGTAAAAATCGGGAACTACATAGACCTGTAAATGTCCTGTCCGTGTACAATTTGAGAGTCAATTTCGTTCTTTGTTTATTTATAGAAAAGCATATAAACATTAAATCTGGGAAGATTGTTGTACATACTCGCTTTTGCATACTGCTTTGGGTTTACAGAGTGTCGTCATGTACCATGCATGTATATATTGTGATATTTCCTTCTGCAAATTTTTGTTTTAATAGCAGACGACTGTTTTATTATTGCAGACTGTATAATTATCTAAGCGTCAAGCTTTTTGTTTTTATCGAGATATTTGTACTCTTTTTGCAGATTGTCATTTAACTTCAAAAACTGACATTTTTGGAAAAAGGGGAAGGGTGACTATGCCAGCTCCAGCGTGTAGATGTTTGATCATAACTGCGGATGACTTCGGCTATAGCGAAGAGAAAAATGCTGGTACTATAGAATGTTTTAAAAGCGGAGCGATTACCGGGGCTTCTCTGCTAACAAATGGACAGTATGCCGTAAATGCCGTGACTCAAGCCAAAGCTGCAAACATGCCGATTGGTAAGTGCATTTAATACGATTTCTTAACTACTAGTATGCTGATCAAATGTTCATCGAATGTTTTATGGAAATAGAGTTGACCTTTCTTTTATTTCTTTTTTGTCTTAAAACAGTTCATATCACTTGTAAGAAATAGTAAGTAAGCATTGAAACTCATAAAAGAAAAAAGGCTGATAAATGTATTTGGTTTATTATTTTATATACAGATTTGCACTTGAATTTGACAGAGGGGTTGCCAGTTAGGCGTATAAAATGTAACAGTCTTACTGGTGAAGATGGTTTTATGCTCGGTAAAATGGGATTCAGACAGGCTATGGAGGACGGCAGTGTGAACCTTCAACAGGTATTTTTCATGGATTTTTTGTTAAATGATGAATGGTATTCATGTGTATTCTCATGAGTTGTAAGTGTGTTACTGAAAGTCATTCGTGTAAAAGAGTTTTTTTTTGTGTTTGGCTGAATGTTATTCGCGTAAATAAAGTAATATAGGCTGAAGAGTTGGTTTTTTTTGTGTGAGAGAGTTGGAGAAAGTTGGGAGAGAGTTGAAGAGTATTTAGTTTTGATGAGTTAGTTTAAGATGTTAGAATATAAAAATGATGCATTATTTTAGTTTACTGCAATAAATACTATCAAGCTTTCATTTGAATTTTTTAGAGGAATGGTTAACATTTTAAGCGAAAATAATATTGAAGAGAAAGCAAATGTTTGTAACAATATTGTTAAGTTGTATTAAATTAAATTTGGATTAAAGGTACTGTTGAATTATATTCATGTGAATGAGGTTCAAGTATATTATGGAATGTTATTCATGTAAACAGCGACGAATTATGTATTTTGTAGGTTAAAGAAGAGATCCAAGCCCAGATTAACCGATTTAAAGAGCTGACAGGACACCTACCTGTCAAAGTGGACGGGCATCAACATGTTCATGTAATACCAGGTAATGAAACATAGCCTTTTGGAAAATTATTTAATCCTGCGGCTACCCAAATGTTGTTTATGATTAAGACCGTATATAGAACTGCATGTGTCTTCGTGATTGATTCATTGATTGATTGATTGTGGCTGCTTGTTTCTCTTAACTAAAATGGACCATGCATCAAGAAAACGGCGTTTATTGTTATTAAGCCATGATGCGTGTTTTCATAAGAATGTTAAGTGTTCTCCTTATTTATTAGAATTACTGTTTAAAGATCATTGGTGAAGCAAATGAGTTTATAGTCACTGGGTACAAAAGGTACAGGTCAAGCAAAGTATTTGACATACCACCAACGTACAAAATGTAGATTTGGCTTACCACTATCGTTAATTCGTCATATCAAGGCGGGGCTTAAATCACACTGATCGAATCATATTTGTTTTTAGGAATCTGTGAAGTATTTGCTGAGGTGTTGGAGGAAAATGGTATCAAAATGAGTAGACTTTCTATAGAGGAATGTATCGCCAGTCAGAAGTGGTCGTCACATCAACAAGAACAATTTATGCAGGGGGTTGTCCAACAGTGTATCCAGGCAGTGCCCATATTTACAAAGCATGGTATATGGTATGATTCTACTATATTTTTTTCATTATGACACCACTAAAAAAGTGGGAGCATATTGTGATGGGGACGGTCCGCAAGTCCGTCCGTACGTGTGTCATCTTTTATCATTGTCCAATCTTTAACTTGAGAATGAATAAGATATGGTTTCTGCATTTTAATAGGGACATTGCAATGGCCGATAGATGGTCCTTAATGATTTTAAGGTAATAAGGTCAAAGGTCAAGGTCACTGTAGCTTTAACCAATGAAAACTTGTCTGACCAATAACTTGAGAACGCTTTTGCCAAAACTCGTTAGATTTGGCTTGGGGTTGGTCATGACTATTATAGAACCCTTCTTTTCCAATGTTTGTAGGTCATAGGTCAATGTCACTTAGTCCTTGACCTCCAAAAGGTTTTTTGACCTAAAACTAGACACATTTTGCCTATAGACCTAAGGTTAAGAGCGTAATTAGGTAATGGCTAGCAGATAAGTAGATAACACCTATCAATTTTGAGGTCAGTAGATTAAAAGTCAAGGTCACGTTGACATTGTGCAATATATTATTTTGTCCTTTCAATATTTGTTTGTATTACTTTACGTATGACATTTGTATAAGATATCGTATATACATACGTAAATTATATGCCTATTATTGTACTCTTAAAGTGATAATAAAGACTAAATGATCAAAAGAACAAGTTTTTTTTCACTTTCTTTGTCAAAACCGTAAATTACTTTTTATAATTTTACACAACTATGCTTTTATGTTTTTTGTTTGTTTGTTGTGTTTTTTATTGTTCAAAATACAATGTGTACCGTATCGTATCTTAATCTACCGGTAAAATTAGACTGTCGGAACATAATATTATGACGTAAGTTTATAGAGACGCTATGAAACACAAACGAATGCATATCGTATACATGAATTTACAAAACATATCTTACATGTTTAATTGCAGGTGTCCAGGATTTATTGGTTTGAAAACAATGGGCAAAGACATGACAATCGCTCGCCTCAGTACGTGCATAACTGATGCTTTCAGAAGCCAAAGGGAGAAAACTCAACGGAACCCAACAACTGACTTAGTATGCGAGTTAATGACGCACCCAGGAAAGCAAACCGGGAAGTCTGGCGGGTGTGGTAACGGACCAGATGATTTTTCGCAATCAGTGGACCGGGAACATGAAATGGACGTACTTATGTCAGAAGTATTGCTCCAGTTTTATAAAGACAACGATATTAATTTGATTTCATTCCCAAGTTACGGCCAGAAACTGATGTCAAAATAGAGAAAAAAAATGTTCTAAAATCTTTCTAGTCAAATGGCAAAATATGATTAATTTGAATTACGGGTATAGGTGTTTTTGCCAACATTTAAAAAATAATGATAATCAACTGGATGGACACTTGGTGCTTTATGAAGTGTACAAAAAAAAAAGTTAAAGCATAGTTGATTTGGTTGGGATAATTTCGTTGAAATATTAATTGATTTTTTTCCCAAATATTTGGGACTATATATGAAATGTTTTAGTTGCAGTTAGATATACTAATCAGTAAATAAGAATATTCGACGAAAGTTACATACAGTACGGGTGGAGGTATGCAAGCTTGCTTACATTTTTTTATATAAATATGGGGGTATATGGGTGTACACTTTATGTTCCGTAAAATACACTTGCCGTGATTTTATTGATTTTTTTTTTGTTTTAAAAACGGAGGTTTGAGTAAATTGACATACCGATAGGGGTATACACTTTGGCTTACATTTTTATAAAATCAGGTGTTCACTTTGTGTTCTTTGAAGTATATACTTGCCGTCTTGATATTATAGGAAATATATATGTTGTTATTTTAAACTTAATATTGATGTTTTTATTGCAATAACTAGTAACACACAGGGCATTATTAGAAAGTTTAATATGGGGTAAAGTATGCAATTTAACTTAGATGCTATAAAACTAGTTGGAGACTGGTGTTCTTTGATAGTATGTCCGCCCTCGTTAGCTCAATAGGGAGAGGATTGGGTTAGTAATCCAGAGGACGCGGGTTCGATCCCTAGGCGAGGCACAATTTCTCAGTGACAGTTGATCCCGGACATAATTTGTCTCCCATCGCTGATTGATCATTCATAAAATCATGTGGGATTAGTAGTAGGTCACTTGCGGAGAAGTTGATAATTACTTGTTTGTCAATTGTTTTCCTGGAAAGTCGATAAGGTGATATCACTGCCGAGATATGAGTAAAATATATAAGGGTAGCGGTGGCCTAGTGTTGAACGTGTCTGCCTCTCAACCCAGGGATCATTGGTTGGAGCCCTAATCGGGTCACGACCATGTTTCTTCATATGACACCAGCACTGGCTAGTTTCAGGAAGCGGCTCGAAAGTGATTAATATAATTTGTAAGAACTTGTTTCGAATTGGAGCTTAAATAAATATGTTTAAACAAGAAAAAATATGTTAAACTTGGCGTAAAAGTTAGAAAAAAACACACGAATCAATTCTTTAAAATATATTTGCCAATATTTCAGTATAATATTTTCGTTTAATTTGTTGTTGATTTTTTTTTTTAGCAATTTTGACACAGACTGACATGTTTAAGTTCGTCATTAATGTCGCCAGGAACATCGTTTCGTTTGTCTTTTCTTTTATTGTATAATAAAAAAGGATAATAAAATACATGTGTTGGGTTATGTAAACAACATGTATCAGGACGAACTGACTCGCTTTACCCTGCAAAAGTTAATGATATGCAAACATATTTGTACATATTTTATCATTATATTTGCATATTTTAAATACATATGTTAAATGATCATCAATGTTGACAGAGCGGCAATAAAATGGTTTGTTTCTTATATAAATTAATAATAAATGTCGTCAAGTTGATGAATAAGCGCGTTTATGATTTCGGTAAAAACGGTTTATCAGGTAATTAATGTGAAGATAACTCTTGCATTTGGACATTTTTGACAGATCTAGGTGTTTTGCATTTCTTGCCCGGCGTCTGCTAATTGTCATGAAAGGTAGACGATAAAAATTATTGGGTTACGGTGCATGTATACGCATCGCTTCAAAAACATTTGTAAAAGGGGTTTTAATTAGTGTCTTGTTTGGGAATTTTGAGCGATATTTTGAACCATAACGTAATGTTATTACGTCAGCAACGTTACTTACGTAATTTATGACATTACGTTCGTAAATAATACTGATTTTCTCAGGACCAGTAAGAACGCATATTATTATGCTTTTAATGTTTCAAAGTATTTTCAGGAACATGTATATTATCAATATGTTTATTTTAAGTTTAAAACAATCAAAATGCTCAGCTAATTTATGTATGTAAGTTATTTTATTGAATTTGAAAAAAAATATATATATATAAACGGTGTTTACGTTGTTGTTTGATTAAAATAAAAATTTTCATTAAATTCATGTACCACAATTGTTGCTTGCTCTGATTTATTGTATTTACAACAGTTTAAAATATTTTGTGGTAATTATAGTTGTTTACTGAATAGAAACTTGCGTGTTTGCATCGTTTACAATGAAAAAGACAACATCAAAAAAGGAAAGAAAAAGAAACCCTGATAACATCTTGTTTAAGATGTACGCATTGAAGATCGCCTTTGTATCAGAAGAGGAAATGCATTTTCGGTTACAATCATCAAATAAGGAAAAAACGAACTATTACGTGCGTGATTAAATTTGTATGATAAGAAATGTACTTTACTTCCCTTTTTAGCTCACCTGTCACAAAGTGACAGGGTGAGCTTTTGTGATCGCTTTTCGTCCGGCGTCCGTCCGTCCGTCCGTCCGTCCGTCGTCCGTCCGTCCGTCGTCCGTCCGTAAACTTTTGCTTTAAATGACATCTCCTCATTAACCACTGAGCCAATTTCATCCAAACTTCACAGGAATGTTCCTTTGGTGGTCACCTTTAAAAATTGTTCAAAGAATTTAATTCCATGCAGAACTCTGGTTGCCATGGCAACCGAAAGAAATTTTTTTAAATATCTTCTTTTGAACAACCCTAAGAGCTAGAGCTTAGATATTTGGCATGAAACATCTTCTAGTGGGTGTCTACCAAGTTTGTTCAAATAAAAGCCCTGGGGTCAAAATTGGCCCCGCCCCAGGGGGTCATTGAATTTCCCTATATGCATATAGTAAAAACTTAAAAAAACTTCTTTTAAAGAACCCAAAGAGCTAGAGCTAAGATATTTGGCATGAAACATCTTCTAGTGAGTGTCTACCAAGTTTGTTCAAATAAAAGCCCTGGGGTCAAAATTGGCCCCGCCCCAGGGGGTCATTGATTTTCCCTATATGCATATAGTAAAACGTTAAAAAATCTTCTTTTAAAGAACCGTAAGAGCTAGAGCTTAGATATTTGGCATGAAACATCTTCTAGTGAATGTCTACCAAGTTTGTTCAAATAAAAGCCCTGGGGTCAAAATTGGCCCCGCCCCAGGGGGTCATTGATTTTCCCTATATGCATATAGTAAAAACTTAAAAAATCTTCTTTTAAAGAACCATAAGAGCTAGAGCTTAGATATTTGGCATGAAACATCTTCTAGTGAATGTCTACCAAGTTTGTTCAAATAAAAGCCCTGGGGTCAAAATTGGCCCTGCCGGGGGGTCATTGATTTTCCCTATATGCATATAGTAAAACCTTAAAAAATCTTCTTTTAAAGAACCGTAAGAGCTAGAGCTTAGATATTTGGCATGAAACATCTTCTAGTGAAAGTCTACCAAGTTTGTTCAAATAAAAGCCCTAGGGTCAAAATTGGCCCCGCCCCAGGGGGTCATTGATTTTCCCTATATGCATATAGTAAAAACTTAAAAAATCTTCTTTTAAAGAACCATAAGAGCTAGAGCTTAGATATTTTGCATGAAACATCTTCTAGTGAATGTCTACCAAGTTTGTTCAAATAAAAGCCCTGGGGTCAAAATTGACCCGCCCCAGGGGGTCATTGATTTTCCCTATATGCATATAGTAAAAACTTAAAAATTTTCTTTTAAAGAACCCAAAGAGCTAGAGCTAAGATATTTAGCATGAAACGTCTTCTAATGAGTGTCTACCAAGTTTCTTCAAATAAAAGCCCTGGGTCAAAATTGGCCCTGCCCCAGGGGTCATTGATTTTCCCTATATGCATATAGTAAAAACTTAAAAAATCTTCTTTTAAAGAACCAAAAAGAGTTAGAGCTAAGATATTTAGCATGAAACATGTTCTAATAAGTGTCTACCAAGTTTGTTCAAATAAAAGCCCTGGGGTCAAAATTTGCCCTGCCCCGGGGTCATTGATTTTCCCTATATGCATATAGTAAAAACTTAAAAAATCTTCTTTTAAAGAACTCAAAGAGCTATGGCTAAGATATTTAGCATCAAACATGTTCTAATAGGTGTCTACCAAGTTTGTTCAAATAAAAGCCCTGGGGTCAAAATTGGCACCGCCCCGGGGGTCATTGATTTTCCTTATATGTGTATAGCAAAAACTTAAAAAATCTTCTTTGAAAAACCCAAATAGCTAGAGTTAAGATATTAAGCATGAAACATCTTTTAGTGAGTGTCTACAAAGTTTGTTCAAATAAAAGACCTGGGGTCAAAATTGGCCCCGCCCCGGGGGTCATTGATTTTCTTTATATGTGTATAGCAAAAACTTAAAAATCTTCTTTGAAAAAACCCAAATAGCTAGAGTTTAGATATTAAGCATGAAACATCTTCTAGTAAGTGTCTACAAAGTTTGTTCAAATAAAAGCCCTGGGGTCAAAACTGGCCCGGCCCCAGGGGTGTCATTGTTTTTAACTATATGTGTATAGTAAAAACTTTAAAAAAATCTTCTTTTAAAAAGCCCAATGAGCTAGAGCTTAGATGTTTAGCATGAAACATCTTCTTATGGGTGTCTACCAAGATTGTGCAAATAAAAGCCCTTGGGTTAAATTGGCCCTGCAACGTTGGTGGGGGTTGGGGGGGGGGGGCTATATACAGGTGAGCGACCTCAGGGCCATCATGGCCCTCTTGTTTATTATCTTATCACATGTTTAAGAACGTGTCGGACACTTTTTGTCCCGCTTTTGTTGGCTATGTTTTGAGTCACGGCAAGTAACTGTCCATCTTAAATGGTAAAGAGAGACCGAGGCATTACATGCCATTACATGATATACGCCATATGTTATTCTATAAGGGGAATTAAACTAAGATTGTATTTCTATAGACACACTGTTTTCTTATTTTGAAGTTATCAAGTTTATTGTTTCAGTTTTTTTATATATGAGCCGTGTCATGACAAAACCAACATAGTACGTTTGCGACCAGCATGGATCCAGACCAGCCTGCGCATCCGCGCAGTCTGATCAGGATCCATGCTGTTCGCTTACAAACCCTATAACATGTAGATAAACTGATAGCAAACAGCATGGATCCTGATCAGACTGCGCGGATGCGCAGGCTGGTCTGGATCCATGCTGGTCGCAAACCCATTAGGTTGGTTTTGTCATGACGCGGCTCATATATATATATTTTTTTTTTGCTAATGAGTGGTTTAGGTGACGCCTCTCGACCATGTTTCTTCATATTACAAAATGGTTCTAGGAAGCGGACTCGAAAGTGATCAAAAATAAGTTATAGGAAATTGTTTCGCAATCGAGCTTACAATAATACATGTATGTTTAAACCAAACCTAATGATTGCTAACCTGGATTTGTATACAATTAGAGATGTTGAAACGTGTCTCTACATTTCATTACCAGTATTGCAATAGATTGTTTGTGTGTGGCGTATAATCTATTCTAATGGAAAGTTATCGTAATATTCATGTAAAATACAAAAATATCTTACTTAATAATTGTAATTTTCCACTGAATGAATGGAAAATACTTGTTTCATGTATAGAACTACTCATGCAATTCATATAACAAATGATAAGATATTTACGTAATAAATAGGGATAAAATGTACAGATATAACTTTTTGTTGTTTTTTTTCTATCTTTTTTTCCCCATCTATCCTATGCTCGTTTTTTGTTTTGCTTGAACCGTTTTTGGCCCGTATCTGAATCAAAAGCTTGACACCAGCAACAATTAGTTAATGTGTATGTCCTCGTAGCTATTTTAGTTTAAATCAGTTGAAAGGTAATGTTACATGCATTAATGACTGTCGTATGGTGAAGGCCGTCCTGCCAGTGTATTAATCTGTGTACATGTATCATCACCTTAAGGCGCTTCATCTATCATTGACCTCGTGTAACTTCGGTATACTTCGCCTATTTCCGTATTTATTGAAATAATTGTAAGAACGTGTAGCAAATTGTAAGAAAAAGATTAATATTTTTTTTAATCCATGATTTTAACAGAACTTTGATTAAACTTTCAGTTAATGTTATAGATAGCGTACTTTGTTATCTACATTGTAACATAAGCGTCTGAATGATATCAAAGTCTCTCAAAGTACTTCTATTTTTTAGACCCTTGTGACATTTAGCACCACAAAATCGGTAAATTTCGCAATAATAATAGTAATAATAATAATAGTAATAATAGTAATTTGAAAGTAAAAGGAGCGTCTTTATGACCTGGATCAACAACAAATGCTTGACAAAACGGAAAGGAACGAAGTTGACCGAATTTATACGAATAAATGCTGGATGGTGTACCTTAAGACGAACTATTAATATGAAAATATTGATATGGTCACTAAAAGTACACACTTTCGTCGTCTGAAGTCAATCAGACAATTGCATTGAAATCTCGGAAATAATTGGCTGTTTAATTTATATTTTTTAAATAAATTCATTAAATTTTACGAACAAGGATGGGTGTTTATCATTGATAAATTACTAAATTAAATTCCTGATGCTTTTTTTGTTGAGAATTTAAATCTAATGAAAACATTGATTTATCTTTTTGTGATAAAACTAGATATACTTATTTGTCGACGGCAAACAAATACCTCGCCGATATCTTCATTCCGAAAGCGTTCGTTGATACATCAACTGAATCGTGCACTTTGTATTTGTCCGGGACATATTTTAATGGGCGGTTCTAGCTTGAGCACGTGTCTTGCGGTAAATTTATTATTGAGAACAGTGATACCTTCTCATATTTAATGTGACATTATATTAAGTGATTAGCGTTGCGGTTTTCAGTATATGATAATTGGGAAATTAATTGTAAATGATACTAGAATATTTAACGGTGTATTCATGCATGTGATTAGTTTTTAATCATGGATTATTTTTTATTAATCGGATAATTGTATGAATAACAATTTCTAGGAAAACGTATGTGCATAACTGCTGACAATAGCAAAACAGGAAATTTAGGTTGCAATTCATTTCTTATGTGCCAAGCTTGGCAAGCGCAGGTTAAAATTTGTGCTATTTATTCTACACGGTGTTAGCAAATTCACGACAGAAGCACTGACAAATACTGCAGTAGATTTGTATGGACTACTAATAAACGGTGCATTTTCTGTTGAAATAAAAAAGTGTGTTATTTAATTCCCTGCGTAAGGTATTTAAACATTATTCACCAAAATGATGTATGACACGGGATCGAGCTCAAGTACACTCAGTTCAAGCTGCGGGAGCATCGATGACAGGCTTATCAGGCCAAGACAACGGGTAAAGAGGATACGTCAAGACTCAATCACTTCAGGTAACCAAATCTTAATTTATAATATTTTTTCAATAAATGCGATACCCTCTTTTTGGAGACCTAGACATAGCGCTTTTTCAGCCGCGTCTGATCGCCACTGCTTGTCATTACTTACATCATGATTGAGGAAGCCAAGAGAGGGTCTTGAGTCCGGTTGGATTCGAACCCATGACCTCCGACTTAGGTAGTTTCAGTAAATTCTAAACATGCTTGTATTTGGCATTTTCGATGTCTATTTAAAAAAAATATATTCGGAGTGATGTTTTTTTCTCTTCATATTTTCTTACATTCATAAACTTTATTCATTCCCTTAGCATTGCTTTATTAAACAGTGTTAATTGCTTCTTTACGAACAATGCAAACACATTTGTATCGAAAGGAAAAATTTAAAATAACAATTTTATTCATATGCCTAAAAAATAATGACAATAAGTTTAAATATTATATTTGTTTTTAAGTTCAATTGTGGGTAGAGCTTAATTATAGCTTGTTATGTACCACTCTTGATGAAGGTTTCCTAGACTAAACCAGTACTGACGTAATTTATGAATCAGCCGATCCTAGTTAGACTCCAACTCATTGGTTTGAGGGTCTAAACACCTTAATCACTGTCACTGTTCCCCTTATCACATTCAATACAGCTGATTTGTAATGTTTTCTTACCAAGTTATAGTTTCGCTTTATACCGACAATATATGAGCCGCGTCACGACAAAACCAACATAATGCGTTTACGACCAGCATGGATCCAGACCAGCCTGAGCATCCGCGCAGTCTGATCAGGATCCATGCTGTTCGCTTACCAACCCTATTACAAGTAGAGAAACTGATAGCGAACAGCATGGGTCCTGATCAGACTGCGCGGATGCGCAGGCTGGTCTGGATCCATGCTCGTCGCACATGCACTATGTTGGTTTTGTCGTGACACGGCTCATATATATTTTTAATTCATCGTAACCTTTGTTCCGGTCATGACAACATTTCTTGTTTCAAGCATTTACCCCGCACCTATATGTCGCTTTTGAATCATCTGGAAATAAAATTTTCTTCTAATTACCTAGATATATTTGCTTACTCAGACTCTTAAAACACATTCCAAAAAGTGTAGATGTCCGCAACCTACTTGATATTTTCACTTTTAAGATTAGCTTAGCTCCTTCAGTCAGCATATTAAACTAATATTGACATTCTTCATTATCGCATCAGAACATTCAGTTCCCTGACATTTACTATATGTGTGTTCATCTTCTATAGCACTTATTTATATTGCATGTCTATATTTCTCTTTTGAAATAATGTATCAAGGAAATGACTCAGAATAGAAGAAAATGCGTTTTTTTCCACACTTTTCGACATTAAGAAAATTGCTTAAACTCGAAACGGGAATTTTTTAAGTGATGGCTTTAATTTCGCAGCCAAAAGCTCGAAGTTAATATAGAACGCTTTAAGTTTCAGGCCATCGCGCAACGAATATAATTATAATATGCGTTGATCAGTTAATACCATCAATCTTTAGTCTAAAAAAAAAGATGGATTTTAATAATAATAAAAACGATTTTGACGTATTTGCATAAGTCGTATCAGGCTTATACACTTTGGTACACAATGTTAATGTTGGAAAATGCTAATTTGCAATCAAACCAGCCTGTTTTCGGGAAGAATTCCAGCAATTACAGTACTAATAACCGAGATAATGATCAAAACAAAATCTATTATCAGACCTACCTGACGTAATCGATATTTGGATCAACTCATGAAAGCACATATCTTGAAAAGTAAATAAGAAACATTTTTAAAATTCCTTCGTCTTCTGTCATTGGAAATCCAATTTTAAGTTATCATGAAATATCTACGTATCAGAATAAACGATTTGAACAGACATTTTATCTATGAATATTTTATCTATTAATTCTATATGAAAACGGGCCAGATTTTAGAATAAATTGACTCACCGAGCAAAATAAATAAATAATTATAATAATGGGAATAGGGTAAAAATGTTAATGGCACCATTATTTTAATTTAAAAAGTATAAACTGTAAAGCTATACATCTCCTGCAAAAACTATTTTTTTCAATTTAAAAAAAGAATACTTCCAAAATGCTTGAATGAAATAAACATGGTAGATAATTGCCTTAAATAAAACCCTATTTAAAATAGCAAAAAATATTTTGTTACGGAACATTTTATTCTGTTTACGTACAGTATTCATGTGTATTAAATTGCAGAGACATTCTATGTTACAACTTTTTCGGGAATCAACCATATAATAATGGAACCAATATAATTTTACTGTTGATAAATTTTATAATAATATTTCATAACATATAGATTTATACCCTTTAAACATTTTTTTCTGCTCAAACAGTATCCACAAATCCAGACGAAGAGGCTTATGTCATGGTGTTACAGAACCGTCAAGGTCTTTATGCTAACGTCAAAAGTTCTACGTCATCATTGAAGGAAGAAAATGACGTCATGTTTTTAGTTGGAGAGGACCAAACGCCCGTTAACGGTGTCCGGTCGATTTTAACCAAAAGGAACAGGTAATGATACTTCAGAATACTATACATACAAGTGATAGCATTTAAAAAGAACTATCCTTTCTTGATAAATTTGATAAAGGATAGATAAAACGATAACAGCGGAAGTACGCAGTTACCGAATTTTATCTAATTCCGATAACAGGTGCGCTGGCATTATTTTCGGAAATTGTTACTGTGTGATTATTTAAAATGTGTCACCGTAGACCAAAGAACCATTTCTGATTTCTGAGTAAAACAAATCTCTAAGTTACTTGCTTAAACACCGTTTTTAAAGTGAAAGCAGAGCACCATATTAAGTTAATTAGCTCAAATATGAATATGTCTCTTTTTGGACGGTGCTTTTAGAATTGTTTGCCCTTTTCAATGGCAAAGTGGTATTTTATTAAAAAATAAGCTCAGCTTGATTTGTTTAGATCTTTATATTTACTCCAAACTGTTTTATCAGAACTACAAAAAGAAAAAAAAATATTGCGTTTTAATTATTATAAATGAAGCTGAAGAATAATTTTAGCTTTAGACTTCTAAGAATTTCTTTCTTGTTATATGAAAAAATAACTAATCATTCGTGAAAGCGCCCCCTTATGGTGTAAAATGTCTTTATTTTTTCAGATTGCTTGGTCAGTTAATTACATCTTTTGAAAAGAATAAGAAGGCTGTAGAAATAGCAAAAAGTTCAAAAGTGAAGAAAACCCTAAAAAACTTAAAAAACAAGCTGATAAATGCCGGTTACTCCGGGTCGCGGAAAGGGAAGAAAATTTTGGTTTTTTATGAAAGATTTTTTTCCGTTTTTCCAAAGAGTTTATAAATTATCTGACAGGTAAATTGACTATTGATCAAGCACGTGATTGGGGAAACCAATATTTTTCCCCTAATGTAAAATATAAACAATTATCCTTTTTTAAGTTTGTAATATGTTAAAAATCAAAGTTACTTATTTGATTTTTCAATTTGTTTTTTTGGAAACATACATGTTTTTTGCTTGCGGACAGAAGTTCTTTTAGTTAGTTAGTATCTGGTTATTAAGTTTCTTGAAAGGATTGACCAAGGGACAGCTTCTTAGGGATTCCTTAACTTTAATTCATGATAGACATAAAAAAAATGTGTACCAATTACCAGTGTACCCTATAACCTCTTACAACAGCAGCCTAGTTTCGTTATTTTTAGCTCGACTATATGAAGTATATGGAAAAAGTTTCTTACTCGCTGTATTTCCAGAATTATTTCCATTTTTGAAATTGGAATGTATTTGAAAATTGTTATATGTATATTATTTTAAAAGTATTCTCTAGACTTAAGATAATTGTTCTTTGTCATTATTCGCATCATGCGTGACAAGGTTCATAACTCTAGCGTCTTTATTAGCTTCTTTATTTCAAGAGTTATTTCCTCTTTGAACTTATAATTTTAGTTTAACAACTTTATATACCTTTTCGCTCATCTATTTTGTTACTGAAGGGATTGACTTTAGACTTTAAATTGTTGTCTTTTTCCATTAGAGCATAGAAATGTCTGTTTTGACTTTTATTGACATGGTTACATGCATATAATGTGGTGCAAAATTTTGAACATTTGAGTGCTTTCTTAATACTGATACAGAAATATATTAAAATCATAATTTATTATTTTCTAATAGTTTCTCTCCCTTTACTGCGTCCGGTATTTAATAAGTCGAGCGTGCTGTCTTCTCTGACAGCTCTTGTTTTTTATGACGGTCATCCAGTTTCAACCAGTTTTTAAGTCGTTTCATGCGTGTCATAAAAAGCTATAGGTTGACGTTCCACAGTCTTTAATTATGCAGAAAATATGCTAACATAAAGACCTGCTTTTCACCAGTTCCAACCAGTTTTTGGGTCGGTTTCATGCCTGTCATAAAAAAGCTATAGGTTGACGTCCCAGAGTCTTTAATCATGCAGAAAATCTGCTAAAATGACACGTGATATTCACGTGATCTATTAAACTGCCCGATTTCATAGTTTATACGTATGATTTCGCTGAATCATACAAACCATGCTATTGTTCTCTTGACGGAAGTGCCTGTAAAAGCTGGCAAGTTGGTGTATATTTTAACCTAGAAAAAATGGCGAAGACGGGATAAAGCAAATTTGATGAAAATCAGCCGTATAGTCATTAGAATCATTGGACGAGATACAACTGTTTTGCGCTGATCACGCGATAAACTAGTAACACACAGTGCATTTATAAATTATTCTCTCTTATTTTAAGTAACTATGCTGTCACTTGACATGTTATATAATTACAATTTAAATCAAGCACAGCAAATTAGACACTTGGCATGTCACACATTTTCTTTTAGATTTGTGATATTTCCGGGTAATTATAAAGTTTCAACCTGGCAAGCGACCTTTTGTATTAACGGCCCGCCTATAAATAAAAGAAGGATTGCACCCGTTGTATGGAAACATCGGCTTGAAAGTTATATTCCTGATATCAAAGTGGTCATTGGAAATAGGCTTACTTGCATATTTCCTCAGTTACTCGGAAACGAGACCGCAGATTGCGGCGAATATTTCCGATCCTGGTTCGGCTTTACAAATTGCCTGCCCAACCTTTCAAAATCTGTTCATATTATCCGACAATGTTGTCTTTAGAAATATATCCTCAATGTCGTTTAAAAATCGGTCAAATTTACAGTAATTTGAAAAAAGGAACCTTCAGATTTGACCGATTTTTAAACTAATAGATTAAAAGTATCTTTTAGGAGGTCGTACACCCAGATAATACGAAAAGAGGTCGACAGCATTAGCCGCAATATGTGGTCCCGTTCCCCGAGTCCACTTTACACAAATTACCTCCCTTGAACTTACATTTGTTATGGAAATGAATTGCGCAGTGTTGGGCTTTCTGAACTGATCTGTCATAATTTAAAAAAAAATATTATGCACTTACGAAAAGTCTTAAATTGTAATTGTTCATTGCGATCCAGACTAGAAAAAAAGAAGATCATTGAATAATGCAAGTAAAACATTTGCTATATAGTCTTAAATTGTACAGAAGTTTCAAGTTAATGAAGATTAAGTATGTAAAACAAATCCTATCATTCAAGCTTGTCATCTGGATTGCTATTTTGGGATAAATTGCGCTGCACACAGGCAAAAAGTAGGCGTAATGTCGCAAAACTTAACGTACCGTCATGACACGCTACATTAGCAGGGGAAGTAACTCGTATTATTGCGAATTCTACTTTTCGTCAAATTCGTAATATATGTTTATTAGAAAGCGTCTAGTTGACCGGAACCCATGTCATCTGGACGTTTAGTACACTTTAAATAAGATCAGAGGGAGTTTGGGAAGGATAAAATGAATAAAAAATAATAAATCAATCATGAACTGGCCCTTTCTTGTCTATAGATTCCAACACATTTCTCAATCTGCATCATTACTTTTCTTACAGGTTTGTTAAATGCAGCATATATGTTTGACGTCCCGGAGGTACAACAGGCGTGTTGGAACTTTGCACTCGGCTGTTTCGTACGGACGGACAACCTCTATGATTTACTATCATCCGCACAGCGTTATGCAGAACATAAAATGACAATCGATCTTATTAAAACGGTAAGAATTTAAAAGAATAAACCCGATAAAACAGAACGCTGACATTCATACATTTTATATTGTTATTTTTTAAAAGTAATTTTGGTTATAATATTATTAAAAGGATAATCAATTGAAAAGAAAGAAAAAATATCACGTTTATATTTCTATTTCACTAAATTCCTTTTTGAACATGAATTTACTTTCAGAAAGTTTGAAAAATCAGAGCTTGCTTAATATTCATTTGAGCTTGCTTTTCATTTTTGTTTGTTTTCCATCCAATATGATACATTGTGATCGATTCAGTATGATACATTGTGTTCGATACAGTATGATTCATTGTGTTCGATACAGTATGATACATTGTGTTCGATACAGTATGATACATTGTGTTCGATACAGTATGATACATTGTGTTCGATACAGTATGATTCATTGTGTTCGATACAGTATGATACATTGTGTTCGATACAGTATGATTCATTGTGTTCGATACAGTATGATTCATTGTGTTCGATACAGTATGATACATTGTGTTCGATACAGTATGATACATTGTGTTCGATACAGTATGATACATTGTGTTCGATACAGTATGATACATTGCGTTCGATTCAGTATGATATAATGATTTTTTTCTTGTAGATGGAGAATTACACAAACGATCACCCGGAAGTACTTCTGCATAGCCGATCTCTGGAAAATCTAGCCGACTTGGTTTTCAGTCAAGCAAAACAGGAAGTGGTGTAACTTGAAAAGCTACAAGTTGGAAATTTCAAATATCGGTAGCATATAAACACATATGTAAAATATGTTCTTTTTTGTTGTGAAATAAGAAAAGAAAGGAAATCTTGTCATCGCAAAACAGCTTCCGGGATTTTTAAAATAATATTCACCAAGAAGTGTATGCGAAAATGGCAGTTTGAAGGTGTAGAAATTTATGTTTTGGAAAGTAGGGGAACTTCTTTTTTTGTATTTCAATTTTCGTCTTTTTAAGAAGTTCGTTCGAAATGAAAAAAACTACATGAGAAACTGTGATAGTAGATTGTGATTATAGAACAGTATTGATAGATTAATAGGGCCTATTTGTGTTTAGCTACATAAACACATGTCAGTGTGTTGTCTTGCGTATTTGTTATTTTAATGATACTAGTACATATGCGTAAATAGAAACCCTAAAGTACACTATTGAATTTTATACAAACATATTTTTATTTGATCAATTGTTAATATATATTTTAAGATTTAAATAACTGTATATATTTCAGTGTCTGTCTTTACAAAACGTGTACTATATACATGTATATGTATAATTTGTTTAAAGGATCTTTTATGGTTGTTTTAATTTTGGTGGATTTTAACATGTAATTGCGTGTTTTTGTAGCAGTTTGGACGAGTTTTGTTAAATCAACACGTGTTTTCTTGTGGTATGGATTAACTCATTGTAATTGTTGAATCAACACGTGTTGTAGTGGTGTGTCAAAACAACACGTGTTAGTTGTACCAATGATTTATCAGATCAACACGTATTAGCAATTAGTACTAGTATTAGTGTTTTAAAATAAAAACTTTACGATTTTTTGCGATATGCAACGGCTCCATAGGGCGTGTTGTATCAACACGTGTTCTCATGCAATATGAATACGTTTTAATAACGTTTTTATCCACACGTGTTCTGTAACAATGTGTAGCAGTTCCTCAACTGTGTTGTAACAACACGTGTAGCTAAGATAAATGTAGAATGCTATAACCAATATAGTTACATATTTATCATTATCTTTGCCTTGCTTTTAATATTTTAAAATAATCGTCATGTAATATAAATATATATATAAATAGATATTATGTGTTTTACTGCAGGGGCGTTGCAGAATGAATGTTATATATTTTACATACTTTTTTTAGAATCTCATATGTATATAAATAGATCATCATCAGCGTTGTTGTTACCATGTTTTAATATTATTGTTTTAAACATTACAAGAAAAAGATTCTTGTCTGCATACATTTTTATATAGCTGTGATATTGTTATATCTAGATAAAAATAGAGATTATAAAAACCGAAATGACTTTGTGTTTTTTAAACGAAATGATTTTTAAAAACGAAATGAGTTTTTTAAAATATAAAAATGGCATACTTGTGGTTTTATTGGTGTACTTAAGTGGTGGTAGCATGGACAACTAGCGTTAAAAATATAAATTCAAACTTATTAAGACAATAAAACAAACCATATATAGAATATTCAAGATTCGAGAATCACTCGAAATCAATTAATAAATTCATAAAATAAGGCTAAAGTACCAACGATTTACGTGGAGAGATTACTGGTTTAGAAACAAAATCTTCACGACTCATTATACGTAACCATTATCGCATTTTATGATATATGCCGAATACACCAAGGCTTAGTGGTCAAGTGATTTTATTTGTTGTTTGGTTTTACGTGCACCAACACACTTTAAGTCATATAAAGCTGATCAGAAAAGACGGTCTTGGGTAACCTCGGGTGTTACAAACTAAAAGCAACAACAGGTGTCGACCCCACCCCTTCCCCTGCTTGAGCTTAGCGATGTATAGACTCCAGAAATTCGAACCCATTAAGTCGCCTCTTACGATCACAAAGGGATAAACGGTTGCTGGAATTCTGATGCCTAAACCCTTAAAGGCAACCCCTGGGCCACAAGGATTTAGCATGACCACCGAGTTCGAACATTGTTAGGGACGTGTAAATAAACAAAGTTTACATTAAGTCCTATGAATGTAGCTTATGGAATAACTGTGGTTTTAACCAGGCATCATCTGAGTCAGTTATTATGCAGCATAGACCGAAGTGATGCAAGGTTCACCACGACAGTTTCAAAATAATAATCATAAACCAAACGTTTAAGTTATTTTATTTAATTTATAGGTTAAGATATTGAATTTTAATACAATGCAGCAATATTTTTTTAATTTATTGTCGTCATAAAGTTTATTTAAGAAAGTTTTATCGGCGGTAAATAGTTGTAAATATTTATGTTTATTATCTGCGAAGTTTCCTTGACCTAATTGAAAACAGGTTTTCAAAAGATCTAAATATAGTGCGTGCAAGATTATCACGTTTTCAACAAGAACAGGTCCGCCAAATCTGTCATCTGGTCTAGATAAAATTGTTTGTAAAGGATATCAAATGACCTATATCAATGCGACATAAATCATCAAATCTTTCTAAACAAATATGGCGAGATGTTTTCAAACGTACATTGTATTTGCGGGTCATTAATAATGATATAAAAATGATAAAACTGTAACTACTAGTATATCGCGTGAATGTCACAAACTGGTCCCATATTCCATGTCCTTAGAGGTTGGCCAATATTTCTTCAAAGGTGAATTCATAGAAACATATATTTTATGAGAGCAGACCGAACATAGTTTTTCTGTAACATTACATGTGAAAATCAGACCATCACTTATAGTTTTGTCCGTCAAAAGGTCATGAAAATTTGGTCTATTTTCCGTATCTTGCATTTGTTTGGAAAGTAGTCCGATTAAAAAGTTTCGTTGTCGTTGTTCTTGTCGTCGTTGTTGTTTGTTCTTGTTGCTTCTCCTGTTCATATTGACGCTTACATGAGAAGGAACACCGCGAAGTACGACAGATGTCCAAAGTGTAAAATAAATTATTACAATGGGTGAATTTCCAAAAATGCTAGGAATAGCCATTCAGCCGGATTCGATTTTTTGTGAAATAAACTTCTTGCTGAACAACAGGGCTAACGTTTTTTTTTCTTTTAAGAGAAATATTACGAACATTGTTTGCACCGCGGGAGCTTACTGTAGACCCTGATTTCGTGCTTCGTACAAGCAGATACTATTTCAATTATATATAGAGGTAACTAGATAAAAACATGGCTAATGGCATACCCCACAGTCACCCTTTTTGGGGGTCTTTTGTCGTCCATTTTGATAGCATGACGTATTAAATTCTCTATGCTGATTGGCTTTGGGCAGGCGGTGTACGGGCAGAAATTGTCAAATCTTGTTTATTGCGTATGTCGCCGTTCCGAGAAGCTAATCAGAATGGAATCAGAATGGAAAAATTAATACCACATGATGACGAAACAGTTAAAAGCGTTCGACAATTAATACGTAACATCTATTTTAGTACATAATATATCACGTAAGAGGAATTTTCCGCTTTGACGTCACTGTTTGGTTCGTTATCTCTACACGTACTTACGAACTAAATGTAATTTTGTTGACGTTTTTCTGGTCCTACAAAATTATCTGTTACAGAAAATAAACAAGGAACAACATAGATAAAATTAGTACACATACAATTTCGGAAGGTTGTTCTATTTTCTTTGTGTCACAAGTGACGCTAGGTTTGTACTTTTACGTTACACAAATTAGAACTCGAAACACGTGATGTAGAAATCATTAGTATGATGGAGAATCCCCGTCCCCGTCTACCAACAGCTGTCCTACCACATTGGATATTAAACAAATTTAATCAGGACATATTTCAGTTCCTGAATATAGATTTTTAACGCAAATGTTTTCAACATACATTGTGTAATTCAAACTATATAAATGTGAAGGACAAATGATTTGATGTCAACACCGAAAGCACTACTTTCTTCTATTATTAATTAAAATATTATTAAACACATATTTGACATTTCTAAAGAATTTTAATAATAAGGATTTTTACGCCACAACGTGGCTTTAACTTTTTTTAACCTAGTGTTGTTAGTGTCGTATTACGTTGTCTAGTATTGTACTGCGTCGCCTATTGCTGTTTTGCGTTGCCTAATTTTGTTTTGCGTCGTCTAGTGTTGTTAGTGTCGTATTGCGTTGTATAGTACTGTATTGGGGTGTCCAATCGCAACTACTCGGCCCTTTCCGTCAGTCTTCGGATAAGGACCTCGAACACAATAGTATGAATACACAGAACGGATGCAGTATTTCGGGCTAACCTACGCTAAGAAACTAAACATGTAAACAAATAGTAATTTAATGCTGGGAGTTGTTGACACATTTATTTCCAATATATGTATTAAAAGTCCACCTAAAATAGGTGAATTCATAGGTACAAAAGCAAACAATACATTATTTAAATATTTATTATTATTATGACTGTAGATGACTGTACAAAAAACCAACCTGTTGACATTTAGTCGGATTTGTTTAAAATTGAACATCAGTGGGCATATTTAAATTACAAATTGTTCTCAGACATATTTTCAAACATAAGAGTACCGGAACAGACGTTAGATGTCAATTATATACATTCGATTTACATTAGCTCTGTTTCTGTTTAGTGGTAGAACTACTTTCAATCCGTATTGTTTCCGAGCTTATTATAGATAAAAGCCGAGGCAGTTACGAATGTTGCGGTGTTTAGTGTTGTTAGTGTCGTATTGCGTTGTCTAGTATCGAATTGCGGTGTCTAGTGTTGTAAGTGTCATATTGCGTTGTCTAGTATCGAATTGCGGTGTCTAGTATCGTAATGCGGTGTCTAGTGTTGTAAGTGTCGTATTGCGTTGTCTAGTACCGAATTGCGGTGTCTAGTGTTGTAAGTGTCGTATTGCGTTGTCTAGTATCGAATTGCGGTGTCTAGTATCGAATAGCGGTGTCTAGTGTTGTAAGTGTCGTATTGCGTTGTCTAGTATCGAATTGCGGTGTCTAGTATCGAATTGCGGTGTCTAGTGTTGTAAGTATCGTATTGCGTTGTCTAGTATCGAATTGCGGTGTCTAGTGTTGTAAGTGTCGTATTGCGGTGTCTAGTATCGTATTGCGGTGTCTAGTATCGTAATGCGGTGTCTAGTGTTGTAAGTGTCGTATTGCGTTGTCTAGTATCGAATTGCGGTGTCTAGTGTTGTTAGTGTCGTATTGCGTTGTCTAGTATCGTATTGCGTTGTCTAGTATCGTAATGCGTTGTCTAGTGTTGTATTGCGTTGACTAGTGTTGTGAGTGTCGTATTGCGTTGTCTAGTATTGTATTGCGGTGTCTAGTGTCGTATTGCGTTGACTAGTATCGTATTGCGTTGCCTAATTTTGTATTGCGGTGTCTAGTGTTGTCAGTGTCGTATTGCGTTGTCTAGTATCGTATTGCGGTGTCTTGTGTTGTTGGTGTCGTAATGCGTCGTCTAGTATTGTATTGCGGTGTCTAGTGTTGTTAATGTCGTATTGCGTTGTGTAGTGTTGTACTACGCCGTCTTGTGCCTTATTGCATTGTCGTTTATAACAAACAGAACTGTAAAGGATGATAATCGACAATGCTTAGTGATATCGAAACAATGCGAAGTGACATTGTGAAGTGACATGGAGACAATGTGAAGTGACATCGCGACAATGTGAAGTGACATGGCGACAATGTGAAGTGACATGGCGACAATACGAAATATTAAGATCTGACATTGTGACAATGAGACAATGCGATATATATACGACATTAAAATATATTGTATAATTCAATTCCAAACATTTCGGCAAGACATTTGGACACTATCCCGTTGTATTGTCGTCACAGTGTCACTCATTGCTTGGTATGTCGCTATGTCACATCGCATTGTCGTGTGTGGACAACAACGCATGATTCACGAACTTACTAATGACACAGTCAGGATTCCGTAGAAATTAAATATTCCTGAATGAATATTAAGAACAAAAAGTAAACATCCTTCAATATATTTATAATATTTATTTATGGTATACATTTATATAGGCCATTTATTTTCATCTGTAAAGGTTAAGTTAGGGACAGTTTATCAAAATGTTTATTGTTTTAACAAGATAACCCATAATTTAAGCAGAATAAAGGACTGAGATAATTGATAATCGCATTCCTTTATGGTCATTGTTTTCTTTTGTTACCACATTTTTCACAATATGAAATAGATAAGTAACCAATGATTTTTTAGCGTTTGCACCACGTGATCTCCCAATAGTAAATCATTATTGGACCCAATCATTCAAATATATAGCCTTGTTTTTATTTTCCTAATCCACAGAAAACCATATCATTTCACTTGTGTTCTCCATCTTGCCTCGTTTAAAAATTCCATATAGAATCGTTATTTTA